TTCACCCGTTCCAAGGCTCGGAAAAGTCGGCGGCCGGGCCGAAGGCGGACTCAAATTGAATCCACACCCTCCTGGGTGCCCGAGGAGTGTAGGGTTTTGGGTTTAGGTTTAGGGTTTAGGGTGTAGGGATTCGGGTGTAGGGATTGGGGTTTAGGGCTTAGGGTTTGGGGTTTAGGGTTTAGGGTTTAAGGATTGGGGTTCAGGGTTTGGGGTTTGGGGTTTAGGGTTTAGGGCTTGGGGTTTAGGGTTGGAGGTTTAGGTTTTAGGTGATTGGGGTTTAGGGTGAGCGGGCGTCTTAGGGGTTAGGGTCTAGACCCAGGAGTAGCCTAGGAAGAAAAAGGGTATGCTTTTTGGTTTGAAGGGGCTTTGTAAGGGAACCTAAGCCCTAACACAAGGGAATACGGGCCTACACTGGGTCCTAGGGGTGGGCTTAGGGCACTTCGTGGGCATACATCTTGCATGGCCCTGCGTCTGCGCAAGTTTACCTGCAAGGGCCCTGCCGTGCCAAGAGCGCCGGCCCGGGTCTGCTTGCCAAAAAACCAAGTCTCTAATTTAGGAATGTACCTTTGGACTATATAGGGTTCCTTACCGCGAATGAAACTGCGAACCTAAGTTCAGGATTAAGGGCTGACTGGGTAGACGTGATGTCACTCTTTACCTATTTGCAACCTAAACCCTATAAGCCCTTTGCATCCAGGTCTCTTGCAGCCAGAAACCCTACAAGCCCTAAACCCTGACCCCTAAGCCCTAAACCCTACAAGCCCTAAAGCCCTAAACCCTAGACCCTCTAAGCACGAAACCCTGAAAACCCTAAACCCTAAACCCTAAACCCTAAACCCCAAACCCTAGACTGCCGAGCCCCACAGCTCTTGAACATGAAGACCTACGGCAAATTTGCCATGTCGCACACCCTGGTCTAGAACCTTGAACCCTATTCAGGGGTTTCCCTCCTACCACCCTTGGTCCTAAACCCCTAAGGTTCCCCCCCGCTAATTGAGGCTATTTCGGGATATTGTGAAGCCTAAATAACCTTATTTAAGGGGGGAACCTGGGGGGGGCCCTACCATACGTGGGAACACTACGGGTTTCGATCGCTTCTCCCCCTTTTTTACCCCTTCTGTGGGAACACTGCGGGTTTCCACCCTCTCCCCCTTTTTTGACCCCCTACACCCTAAACCCTAAACCCTAGACCCCAGACCCGAAACCCTAAACCCTACTGTCGGGAGACGTAAATCGGAAGCCTCCTAGAACGAGACGCAGCTGCAACCAAGGCACTCCTTGTAGTGCACCCGTGTTCCGCCAATGTGCAGCAACCTTCCGTTTAGGGTTTAGGGTTTAGGGTTTAGGGTTTAGGGTTTAGGGTGCCTTCTGTTGGGGTGTTTAACCCAGAGAGCCCAATACCCTTTCAGTCAAGAACACCCAACTGAACTACTGTTTGCTTAAGGCTTAAGAACCCCAAAATATGAAAAAATCGCATTCCCTAGATCACCCTTAGAAGGAAGTCTCTCTTTGTTTTATTATCTTATTTTTTTTTTTCTGGGGGGGGGTGGTTCTTAAGCAACAAGACAAGTCTAACTACATAGGGATCCCTAGTACGCTGTAAGCTCGATGCCTTCGCTAAGGGGTGTCGAGCTCACTTGGGGTCGAAAGGATTCAACTCAGGCTTCAAGGCGATTAGCGTTTAGAGTTCGGGTTTAGGGTTTAGGGTTTAGGGTTTAGGGTTTCGGGTTTAGGGTTTCGGGGCTTTTAAGGGTTAAACCCTTTTAGGGTTTAGGGCCTGTTTAGGGCTTAGGGTTTCAGGAGAGAGGGGCGAAACATTTGCCGTGTCGGCAAGGTGGGCCCGGGCAAGAAACCAAAAGTGCAACAACAACAACCTACCCTCAACCCTAAACCCTAAACCCTGACATGTTCCTCAACCTCTGGCAGAGATTCAGATGCGTCTTCCGCACAGGCAGCTCTGAGCACCCTGCGAACAAATCTCTAAGCTTCGCCTCAACCAAGACGATGCGATCCAACTTCCTTTGAGACTGTAAAGGGCGAAGACCGGGCAAACCCTCCCTAAACCCTAAACTTTAAACCCTAAACCCTCGAAACCCTAAACCGCAAACCCAACTCTAAACCCACACAGATCTGCGCTTCAGCGCGCCTGATGGTCAGCTGACCTGGCTGCTCTGCCGACGGGATGGGCGGCTGCGTCTTCCCCTGGTCGCTTGCTTGGAGCTTCGTAAGTGCCTACAACTTGATTGAAGGTACATTGAGGGGTTTAGGGTTTAGGGCTTAGGGAAGTTTAGGGTTCAGGGTTTAGGGTGAGTAGTGTGGCTTTTTTGGGCTACAAGTGTGGTAACTTTGCCTTAGAACCCTACCAGCAACTACACACAGAACCTTTACGCGCCCGTAAGGTTTAGGGTTTAGGGTTTAGTGTTTACGGTTGAGGGTTGAGGGTTTTGGGCCCTCATGTAAATGCCAGAGCCCAAGGCCCGTTACGTCAGGGAATAACTTACAACCAGAATTCACGTGTGCCCCCAGTTGCTGAGTACCCTGGACCAAAACAAAGTTAACCTTTCAATCATGGTAGGATAATATCTCCCTCAAAAGGTTAAAGGTTACAAGCTGCGTATTCATTGGAGTGTGAGTCAACGCTTCTGGCTCGGAATGTGTGTGGGGATTCTTCTTCTGGAAACTCATCGAGAGGGCCGACGACGAAACTTAGCCCTGACCCCCCCCCAAGACTCTATAGGACGTTTAAGCACTTGAAGAAGCATGTGTACATGTAAGTATGTTTGTTATATGTATGTGTGTTTTTATTTTTATCTATTTATATAAATATTTTGACATACATCACGATTGGGGCACACGCCAGGTGGCCGTCCAAATGCATTTGATGCTAGGAGCCGTCCATCAGCGGGTCGAAATTTAGGCCGTTGAGTTTGGTGAAGTGATCGAACACTTGGATTGAGGGTTTAGGTTTATTTGGGGTATGTTCATCTTCATGCAAGAGACGCACAAACGGAAGCATACCCCGAAGTCCATAGGCGGTGTCTAACGATGTGGGCTCTGACTTAGGATAATCATGACAGGAATTTACAGGATGATAAAGGGGGTTTGCTCCGGAACAAAGTTGCAGTTTAGGGTGTAGGGCAGGATTGTTACTGGGTCCCCCAACGGCTGAACCCGGGGTTTAGAGCTTAGGGTTTAGGGTTGATGGAAACCCATCTGCACAGTTAAACCCTGAACCCTGAACCCTGAACCCTGAACCCTAAATCCTAAACCCTAAACCCTAAACCCTAAACCCCTGAGTTCCAGTCCTCGCCCCATGCTGGGACAGGCATGTGCGTCTGGTCCACCAGACCTGCAGATCTTGTCTTAAGGCTGGCTTCGGGAGCAAGGTGAAGGGGAAACAAAAAGGGTTAGGGTTTAGGGTTTAGGGTTTAGGGTTTAGGGTTTAGGGTTTAGGGTTTAGGGCAAACCCTCATGACAAACCGGGGCAGTTCCTGGGGCCTCGAGGTGTCTATCGGCCTTTTTGAGGCTTCGGTTTTGGATAGGCTTAAACCCTAAACGCTAAACCATTAAAGGCGTCTTGCTTTGTGTGCCTGTCCAGTAAGGCGGTCCAAGGCTTGTGGAGCCGCTGGGTACGCTGCATGAACTCATAGTCGTAGGCATATCTGCACATGTATAAACAAGCAAGGAAAACCAAACAGACGCTACAAGTAGACAGCTCTCTCTCTCTCTCTACGTATATACACTAATATACACTAATATATATATATATATACATACATACTATATATATATATATATGTATGTATGCACATGCGTGCTGAAGTGTTCATCTGTATTGCTATACACAAAGGTTCGCTGACGCCTAGAACTCAGCTGCCAAGGTGCACGCTTCGGGGAAGTTTAGCTTCAGGTCCAACATCTGCTCGAGGTCCTTCACCTGGGACGGGTTTAGGGTTTAGGGTGTAGGGTTGGTGGGGTTTAGGGCTTAGGGTTTAGGGGACATTGTGGACGGCGGATCGGGGCCCCCGAAGGATGAATAAAATTGATGGACGCAATAAGCAAACCAAAGCCGTGTGTTGTGCATGCGAGACCTAGTACTAGAGACCTAGTAGATCACAAGGCTATGACGGCTATGACCATGGGGCTGGGGGTGGGGGGGCACCTTTGCTGAGCGATTACTGACAAAGTGCGGGCGCAAGCCTTGCTCCAAACCTGATGCAGAAAGTAAACAGCAACATTCCCTCATTCTTCTTATCAATATTGCAATTAGTTTTCGTACTAAACAGTTGCATGTTCCAATTTTCTTATCAATATTGCCATATCTTTCAGACGACTAAACAGTTCTCAAAGTTCCCCTCGCAGCCCTCGCAGCAACCCCTGGCACCTCCCCATGAACCCTCTCCACACCTCCCCAGCAGCCCAGATCCCGTTTTTCCCGAAACCCTACAGGTTTAGGGTTGAGGGTTTAGGGTTTAGGCTACACCCTGAACCCTGCACCTTCAACAGTCCTTAATAGTGATGATAAGGGGTACTATAATCCCCTACTAAGGACTGCTAGTACAAGGGTGGAAGGCCCTAAAGACCATCACCCTATTTTTGCAGCAGGATTGGAAGGGTAAGCCATGCTCAGGCCTAAGCCCGAAACCACTGAGCCCTGAACCCCTTGACCCCTGAACCCTAAGCCCTAAGCTCTGAACCCCTCAATTAGGGTTTAGGGTTTAGGGTTTAGGGTTTAGGGTTTAGGGTTCACCCCCAAACCCTCAACCTTTTCCGCAGGCGGTGGGCGCCCACACCGGGTCTGAGGCCTGTGCAGGTCCTCAGCGCGACTGGCCAAGCTGCAAAGGCGCACCCCCCCCAATGGGTCGGGCACGGCTCAAACGAGAGAAATCTGTGATCACGCAAGCTGCAGGTAGGGGCTTCATGTCTAGACATGGCATACCTGCAGCCTATGGGGGGGCCTAGGGCCCCCCTTATGGGACGGTGAGTGGAGCTAGTGCGCCCTACACAAACCAAGGGCCACGTCCGAAGAGATGCACCGGGGTGTGGTGCACGAAGTGCCAGATGAGGATGCCAATCCAGCGGTCTCGGCACTCGTCAATCCTGGAGTGGATTTTAGGGTTTGGGGTTTAGGGTACAAAGCCACTCACTTATGGCCTATAACCCTAAACCCAAAAAAATCGGGTTTTGTAGGGACTGGGGGGGGACCCTAGAACCCCGGAACAGATTCCAAGACCCTAAACCCTAAACACTATAAACCCTGAACCCTCAACCCTCAACCCTAAACCCTTAAACCCCAAATTCCACGATTTCTCCCAGAATCTTGGTGGTCTCGATGATCTCCTTCTGTAGGGCCGCTGGGATCCACCAGTTCACCATGTAGCCCGAGCCCTTGTTCTCGTTAGCCGCAACCTTGGGGGCGAAATGAACCCTAAACTTGAGGACTGTTTAGGGTTTAGGGTTTAGGGTTTAGGGTTGCGATGATGCCCTATTCCCAGAGAGCTCAGAACCCCTTGATTGAGGAGTATGCCTTGAAGCATCTAGGGATCTATTCCTTAATTATCAGGGGTATCGGGCTCTTTGGGTCAAGGTATATGGACCATATAGCCCTTTTTGGAGATTTTTGCTACTATTTGCTTAAGAACCCCAAAAGAATAGAAACCAATCTTCCCTACATTACCCTTAAACCGGAAGAATGTTCGTTCAAATTTTTGGGGGTTTCTTAAGCAATTCCTTAATTAAGGGGTATTGGGCTCTTTGGGTTCAGGTATATGGACTACATAACCTTTGTTAGGGATTCTTTTCGTCCCCAAGGAACGACGAAGCACGCGTCATGTGGTCCCAAGCTGGTGGCGAACATGCCTGCACCCCAAGGCCACCAGGTCGTCACCAGGTTCTTGTTGTTCTTGGCCTTAGCAGCCCAGCAACCATATTTTAATCCCTAAACCCTAAACCCTAAACCTTAAACCTTAAACCCTAAACCCTAAACCCTAAACCCTAAACCAAGTGGCCATGCGCATGACGTTCAGGCAGGCGTGGTAGGCCTGCTCCTCACCTCGGATGGCCCTTATTAAGGGTTTAGGGTTAATATCATCCTCTTAAAGGGTTTAGGGTTAGTATCATCCTCTTAAAGGGCTTAGGGTTTAGGGTTAATATCATCCTCTTAAAGGGTTTAGGGCCAACCCAGTCACCGGGGTAGGAGATCTTCGGGACCGGCGGCATCTCCCACTTCCCGGGCTCGCCGATGCAGCCGTAGTTGCCTTGGTTTGATCTTTAACCCGTGGGTTTAGGGTTTAGGGTTTAGGGTTTAGGGTTTCGGGTTTAGGGTTTAGGGTCAGTCAAAGTTTAGCTTTTAGCTCCCTGAATCTGACATTAAAGGAACCCCCAGCACTTCTAATCTGAACTTAGGGGAACCCCAACACTTATCCAAGTCACAAAAATTGCAGTACTTGGAGGTTCATGGGACTTAAGAACCACATATAACTGTACAGAAAAGTAGGGTTATAAGTACAGTTATAATTGGTGAGTAAGTCCCATGAACCTCCAAGTAGAGTCCCAACCGAGTTGCAGTCGCCAACCGCGTAGATGGTGCCATCGGCCCAAACGCCCCCACCCTCTGAGGGCTTCTTGGTCACCTGGCCGGGGCAGAGGGGGGGGGGGGGGGGGTGGAAAAAGTTGGGTTTAGGGTGCCCTTTTTTAAGATGTCCATGACCAGCCTTAAGCCTTTTGTTGCGGGGGTTTGTTAAGGGGAACGTTTGGGGGGGGGGGGCCCCTACTTGGGGAACCCTAAACCCTAAACCCTAAACCCTAATGGGGAACCCTAAATTGGGGTACCCTAAACCCTAAACCCTAATCCCTTGCCCACCTGCATGTGCTTGTTGAAGTGGATCCAGCCGCCTCCGCCAGGGCCCTTGTCGGAGAGGGTGCACTTGGGCATGAAGTAGTTGGAGGCCTTGACGGACTAGGGTTTAGGGTTTAGGGTTTAGGGTTTAGGGTTTAGGGTTTAGGGTTTAGGGTTTAGGGTTTAGGGTTTAGGGTTTAGGGTTTAGGGTTTAGGGTTTAGGGCGGCATGAAGTAGTTGGAGGCCTTGACGCCAATGCAAACGTAGCATTCGTCCGCGCCGTTGGGCAGCTCGATCTTCTTCCAGAAGTCGGGGTTCCTGCACCATTGTTTGCGGTTTAGGGTTTAGGGTTTAGAGTTTAGGGTTTAGGGTTTAGGGTTTAGGGTTTGGGCTCTATTAAGCATGAACATTCTTTTCGAATTGGGTCTATGTATGGTTCCTGCACCATTGTTGGGTGACTATTAAACATGAACATTCTTGCTAATTATTGGGTTTAAGTACTCATAAACATGGAAAGTGATTTTCAACAATGGCCCAGGCTCTTGGGGTCGTAGCCGCAGCTGTAGAACTCCTTGATGCCGCATGCCTTGGTAGCCCAGTAAACCATGTGACAAGAAGGGTACGCTTTTTGGGGTTGGTTGCTTTACAAGGGAACCTAGAACACCCCCCCCCCCCCCCAAAAAAAAAAAAAAAAACCTACATAAAACAAAAAAAACTTGTGGGGGCAAAAGGGTATTAGTGGGTTGCCAGGATGCGTTCATGTACTCGGAGCAGTAGTCTGCGGCGCTGTCCGGCAAAGGGCCCAGACAGCGTGGCAAGAAGTCGATGATGGTGAGCTTGACATCCGGGAAGAAGTGCCTCGGTCCCAGGCGAAGCTAGGAGTAGCAAAAGGGTACCCAACACAGAGCCCAATACCCCTAAGTCAGGAAGACACCTTGAATCATACTAAGGATCCCTATACGAATTAAGGGAATTAAGTTAAGAGGTTTTGGGCTCTCTGGGTAGCCTCTTCTGCTTAAAGGGCTTTATATGGGAACCTCACCAATAAGACCAGGGAAATCGGAGCCCAGTCTAGATCAAAGGTGCTCAATCTCCGTGGCCCATTCGACGCCAATGAAGCCCGCGCCCACGATGAGCACCGTGGCCTTCTTCTTGTTCAAGTCTTGGAGTTTCTGGTACTCCTGCAGGTACGTTGTAGTTCCGATGCGGCTAGAGTCGTTTAGGGTTTGGGGTTTAGGGTTTAGCGATTACTGAAAGGGTCCTTATCAGTCCTTGAGATGGTTCGGGAACCTTGGGTCACACACACACACACCCCTTTTGAACCTCCCTCCCTTAAGGGTTATATATATATATAATTCAGGTACAAGAACCCCAGTTCGGGCTCTTACAACCCTACGTAAAAGCTGCCCATGAGCCTCCATGCAGTGCTGCACTCTACGGCCAGAATTTTTACGCGCGCCCGCGCGCAGGAATTCGCGTGTGCCAAGTTGCAAGCCGCCATCCAAGAAATATCGCGGGCATGATTCTCTATTACTTGAAGGTTCATGGTACCTACTATAGCTGTATAACCTTACTTGTAATATAATACCCCTAAAAGGCCTTATAGGGGTTATCCCAATTATAAGTAGGGTTATAAGTACAGCTATAAGTGGTTAGTAAGTACCATGAACCTTCAAGTATCCCTCTCACACACACACAGAGGCGCAATGTCACTCACTCACAAAGAAAAAAGCCGCATGACACCGGACACCGCCAGAGCGCGCCGCTCCTTAAGAGCCCGAAAACCCCTAAAAATTTGGGAACATATCCTGGAATTCATACAGGGATCCTCAGCAGGATTCTTAAGGTATACTCCTGAATCAAGGGGTCTTGAAAAAAGGTTCTTTCGGGCACTATCGGCTCCTCCAGGACGTGGCGCCTGCGGCCCTCAAGGAAGCGCTCGTCGATGTGCTTCCAATCACTTACGGCCTGCCCGGCCTCGTGGACCGTGGGGAACCACAAGCTCTCGCCCATGGGCTTGAAGGGGCCGAAGTTGCCTCGGTTGGAACTGACAAAGGTCTCCTTAAGAATCTTCCGGTCGTCTTGAGATTCTCTGTAAGCAACCCCAAGGAAGGGAACTTCGAAAAACGATCCCAGGCGGGGCTAGCTGCAGCCTGAGCAGATGATGCAGTAGTCGAAGCCGATCTCGTCCATGTTGTTGGAGAACATGGGCTTGATGCTGGCCGTCTTGCGGTCGCCGTCCAGCTCTTTCACCTCTCCCCAAATGAACTTCACGCCCATCTTCCTCTCGTAGACCGGCTGCAAGGTGAAGGTCAAGGAGTCCAGGTGTGCAGGCCTCACGAAGGCCCGGAGCACGCCGGGAGTGTACTCGAAGTACTCCTTGTGGCAGTCCCAGTAACCATCTTATAACATAGGGTTTAGGGTTTAGGGTTTAGGGCTTTCGGGTGTATCCTTGGCGTCAACCACTGTGACGTAGAACTGCTTCTTCAGCTCCCTCGCGCAAAAATTCCCCGTGAACTGGCCGCCGATGAGGAGGCAGCGAGGCTTGGCACCCTTCGCCTAGTTCATGGTTTAGGGTTTAGGGTTTAGTTTGTTTTTTGGCCTTGTAGGGTTTAAGTACCCTTAAAAAATGTAGAATGGTACCCAACTATGACAAAGTCGCTGGCATGGTCTCGAAAAATCAGCGTGAGGAGATGCTGGGAGTGTGGAAGGCTCACGCTTCGGGTCAAAACAGCTGGCGGCCGGAGCTGTGCACGCAGCAAGCACATGTTTTCGGTTTAGGGTTTAGGGTTTAGGGCCTCTCAACCCTCGACTACGCCCTTGGCAGCGCAAGCGCAGCGAACAACAACCCCCCCCCCCCACCCCCTAGACAGCCCAATACCCTTTCATGAGTATAGCCCTACGTCAGAATAACCCTAAACATAAGCCCTAAGCCCTAAACCAAGGATCCCCCCTGTGTGACTAAAGGTGTGTTCCCGTTCTCAAGATGGGGCTCTCTGCGCCTGACCCCCCTCCTGATCTGGACCCTGGTCCCTTTTAGCCGGATCCCTACTACATACAATCTAAGGACTATTGCCTAACTAAGGGACATTGCAGTCTCTGACTCCAAAACCCTAAACCCTACTAATTAAACCCTAAACCCTAAACCCTAAACCCTAAAGCCTAAAGCCTAAAGCCTAAAGCCTAAAGCCTAAAGCCTAAAGCCTAAACCCTAAACCCTACCCCCTTCCCCCAAAACACACAAGCATCGCCTCAAGGCTGGGAGATGCCGAGGCGCCGAGTACAGCGCGAAGGCTGAGGGCGGCCAGCCTTCCTGTCCTCCCTCCAGCTGGTTCGACCTTGGTGTAGGGTTTAGGGTTTAGGGTTTAGGGTTTGAAGTGCTTTGAGAGTTCTGAAGGTTTAGGGATTCTTCCAGCTGCTTCGACCTTGGCTTGAAGTGCTTTGAGAGCTAAGGAGGTTTAGGGATTCTTTTCATCGGGCTTTGAGAGTTATGAGGGTTTTAGGGTCTCTTTGTTTTTTTGGCCTTGGGGTCCCTTCTTTTGTCGATTTGAGTCTTGGGACTTTCGGGTGGGGCCGGCCGGGGTGCACTTTTTTTTGGCCCTTTTATTTTATTTTATTATGTTTTTTTTTTTTTTTTTTTTTGGGGGGGGTAGGGTTTTAGGGTTTAGGGTTTAGGGTTTAGGTTTAGGGTTTAGGGTTTTTAGGGTTTAGGGTTTAGGGTTTAGGGTTTAGGGTTTAGGGTTTAGGGTTTAGGGTTTAGGGTTTAGGGTTTAGGGTTTAGGGTTTAGGGTTTAGGGTTTAGGGTTTAGGGTTTAGGGATTAGGGATTAGGGTTTAGAGAGGAAAACGAGGAAATAGGGCCAAAAAAAAAAGGGCCAAAAAAAAAGGGCAAAAAAAAGGGTCCCCAGCCGGCCGGAAGGGGGAAGGGATGCTTCGCAAGGCACTCGTCCAGCAGAGATTTCATAGCCAAGAGTCTCCGGATCGTTCTCCAGAATCACCGCGAAGGAGCCTTCTTCTGGTTCGCAGACAGCCTTCCTGGGGGCTCGAACAGCCCTAAACCCTAAACCCTAAACCCTGAACCCTAAACATTGCGAACCTTGTCCCGTATAACTGTTGCACGTGCACTGGAGAGGCTTTACTTGGAGGTTCATGGTACTTATCAACCAATTCGAACTGTACTTCTAACCCACTTAAAAGTCCCTTTGGTGCCCTAATATGGTTATAAGTTATAAGTACAGTTCCAATTGGGTAATAAGTACCATGAATATCCAAGTAGGGGGCTTAGAGGCGACCCCAAACCCCAAATGGGGTGTCTGGCCTAGGCTTCAAGGGCTTTCGAAGGTCAAGCTGTGTGCGACAGTTGCCTTGTTTTGCTGCCCCATACAAACCCTAAACCCTAAACCCTGAAAAGGGGCTTCGCCAGTATCACAACAGACCCCAGACTTTCCAACCGATGCCTTGCCGGCCTTGTGCGCGAGTGAAGAGTCGAAACCCTGAACCCTGAACCCCCTTTGAACCCGGAACTGAACCCCTAAACCCTAAGCCCTAAACCGTAAACCCTAAACCCGGAACTGAACCCCTAAACCCTAAACCCTCAACCCTCAACCCTTAAAAATGGAAGCCTTCGGCTGCCCCCGATTGGGGTCTCATGGCCATGTCTTGCCCCCAGTGACTTCGGCCTTTGGTAGGAGCCTTACACCAAAGAAAAAAAACAAAAAACGCAAACGGTACTTCATGAGTGGGATCTGTTTTCTCATTATGGGGTGGTAGGGCGTCTAGGGCTTCAAGGGCTTATAGGGTTTCGAGGGTTTCCAGGGTGTACCCGGGGGGGGGGGGGGGGGGGGGGGGGGGCTTATAGGTTTTAAGTTATAAGGATCAGGGCATTCCTCACTTGATGGGTGTTGTGCTCTCTGGGAAGCAGGTGGTAGACTCCAAGCTTCCAGTAAAAGGTCGGAACGTAGATGAAGTCGCCCTGCCCGTTAGGGTTCAGGTGGCGGTGGGGTCTAAATGGGGGGGGATTTACGAAAATAGGCGACCCCCTTATAAACTAGAGCCCCCCCCCCCCCCCCACAAATAGTAGGATTCCCTTATGAAAAGGACTCCAATCAGGTACCCCGAATTTCGGAAACACCAAAATTGCAACAATGTCTCCCATGCCTGTCAATCTTCTGCATGATTCCACACTTCCCTCAAGCAATCCGTACTTGGAGGTTTATGGGTAGTTGGAAGTAGCATTATAAGTATATGGTAACGATACGTATAACCCTCATTCAGGGTACTTAAAAACTACCCATGAACCTCGAAGTCATTCCGCTTCATCAACAAGCTTCTCTGGACGGCACGAGGCGCAAGGCGAAAAACGGAACTGTGGTCACAACCTTTATGTTACGCAACAAACACCAAGGGTCATGATACGGGCCCCTACTTGCAGGTTCATGGGTAATTATAAGTGGGGTCAGAACCACCGTAAACAGGGTTATAAGTAACTACCATACTTATAACCTGCTTATAACTACCCATGAACCTCCCAATGTATGGTGCCAGGCACACTCCTTAAGAAAAGGATCAAGGGGTTTACGAACATAAGGGAAGCCTACAAGAGACCTCCGACCCCCGAATAGTGGGATTTCCTTGTCATAGAAACCCCAGAAAGGCACCCCACCCTTCCACCCCACCCTTCCACCCCCCCCCCCCCTTCCACCCCCCCCCCCACCTTCCACCCCCCCCCCACCCTTCCACCCCCCCCCACCCACCCCCCACCCCCCCCACCCCCACCCCCCCCCCACCCCCCACCCCCCTCCACCCCCCCCCCCCACCCCCCCCCCCCCACTCGCCCCCCCTCCCCCCCCAACCCCCCTCGACAATGGGGTGGGGAAGCCCGCTTGTCAAGAATAAGTTTCTGAATGAACGCGCCTGTTTTTGAGGCCCCTGAAGCCCCTCAAAAGAGTCAAGAGACTCAACCTTATGTTCGGAAACCCTAAACCCTAAACCCTAAACCACCATATATTGGGCTCGCGGAGTTAGGCCGCAAGCCTTGCAGGTGCGACAGTCGCACTCGCTTTGGCAAGGGCACTCCAGCCAGCATTCCTGGGTTTAGGGTTTAGGGTTTAGGGTTTAGGGTTTACTTCTGCTACGGTGCAGGCACGCTACCCTATATCTGGGACCAGTTTGGGGAGTTCGGCATTTCGGGATGGGTCAGAGGGTCTTCCTGATGCGAAGTCAACTATAGGGTCTAGGCGCAAAGCCCAAAGCCACAAACCTTTAAGCTCGGACTAGTGTCTTGGCTTTGGGGGACTTGTCTCATTAGATCTCAGTGACTCAGTGAGATCAGGGCTAGCAAAACCGACAACTGAGATGACTGTTTCCGAGATCACTGTTTCGATCTCCGCATTGCATGTTTCTGCATGCTTAACGTCCATGCGAAACGCCGTCGTCATGTTACCCAAACCCCTAAACCCTGATTGACTTTGAGGGTTGCTAGGAGGCTTCGGTTTCAAAAAGCTCCTAAACCCTAAACCCTAAATCCTAAACCCTAAACACTAAACCCAAAACTCTAAACCCTAAACCCTAAAACCTGCCGCTCCAAGGCGCCGCATCGGCCTGCCAGGCCCGGGGCCTTTGCCGGTTCCAGTAGCCGAGGCCGGTCACGACGAAAAGACCCGGCTTGGACTCGGCTTACTTAGGGTTTGGGTTTAGGGTTTAGGGTTGAGGGTTGAGGGTTTAGGGTTTAGCGTTTAGAATTTTGGGTTTAGGGCAGGGCTCTAAGGAGGATCTGGGAAAACCGCTCACCCTGCTCAGCGGACATTGCTTTTGATTGTCATTGTACCCCTGAGTTGGAGTACTTGCCGTAGGCTACATACAGAGGGGGGGCTCCACATGATATAAACGAAAGCCTATTCCTTCATTCTGGGGCATTGTGATAAGGCGTCAGGGTTCAGGGTGGTGGGCAGCAGGGCCTGGGTTTAGGGTGAAGGGGGGGTTTACGTTTTCGGGTTTAGGGTTTTATAGGTTTTAGGGCTTAACGTTCTTTCAGGGTTCAAGGGCTATCAGCAGGTAAGGCTGCAGGGTTGCTCTCGCTTCGGCACGCCAAAGACTCCAAACCGGGACGGCCAGGCCCTCCCCTCTGTAAACCCGAAGCAAGAACCCTGCTAACACTCAGTTAAGCCCTACTATAGGGGCCTGAATAATTAGAATAGGCTTTTGGGTGGTTATTTCAGTATACTTACAAAAGGGGCCATACGGGAATAATCGTAGCAATTGTTCCGGCCCCTATATTATGCCCAATGGAGGGTTTAGGGTTTAGGGTTTCTTTTTTTGCCACCCGCTTAGCTGGGTTTAGGGTTGAGGGTTGTTTAGGGTTTTGGGGTTTGCTTTTGCATCTGGGCTTGCAAACCCTCACTCAAAGCCTCAAACCCCCTGATCAGGGCTTTGGGGCGAAGGTGCTCGGCTTCGAAGTATTGCTGCTTCTCCTATGGGGTTCAGGGTTTAGGGTTGAACTGCATTTCAGGTTGGGTTGAAGGCCTGCGCCCGCCCTTCAGCCAAGTACAAATGCGCTTCCCTTTGCCCTGCCCCTTAGAGCACCGTCCACAGCACAAGGTGCTGAATTGAGGGGGAGTGGGCTCTTTGAGGGGTTTGCTAGGACAGCCCTGTAAATCCCGCTGAACAATATTCCTACATCTTATTCGGTCTTATCCTCTTAGCCACCCCCCCCCCCCCCCCGCCCCGCCAAAAAAAAAAGAGGAAAACTAACAAAATAATCCCAACAAGGGCCTAAGTAGCTTGTGGTCCATTCCTTCAAACCGAGCTGCGTTTGGCAGGTCAGCTGCATACTCGTGCAGTGCATTCTCCAGTTCTTGCCAGCCTTGACATGGCCCCTGTTACATGGTCCCGTACTTGGAGGTTTATGGTACTTACTAACCAATTATAACTGTACGTATAACCCTACTTAAACTTATAATACCCCAAAGGGCCTTATAGGGGTTATCCCAATTATAAGTAGGGTTATAAGCCCAGTTATAAGTGGTTATTAAGTCCCATGAACCTCCAAGTAGTCTGGGCCCTTAGAAGGATATATACCCGGACAGGCATTCCCGAAAAGCCCAATAACCCTTGTAATGAGGGCCCCCTATACAGTTTCAGGTCTATTTGTTTATTTAGGGGTGTTGGGCTCTCTGGGTTCTTCTTGCTACCCGGAAGTGGGACCTTAGGTCAAGGAACAGTACGCAGCATTTCAGCTGCTTCGCCTTGTTGGAGAACCTAAACCCTAAACCCTCTTTTGCTTAACTTTACAGTTTGGGACTTGGTCATGCTGGCGTCGCTTATCTTCATTCCTTCTGTGTCTGGAATAATGCCTGGAGGTTCATGGGTAGTTGTAAGTATAGGCTTGTAAGTATGGTAAGTATACTTGCAACCCTATTTATGGTATGTATAACTCTACTTATAACTACCCAGATGAACCTCCAAGTACAGGCTGTGGCCACAAGCAAAATAAGTGCAGCGAGAAGGCTTCGCTGGTTCATCTTGCTGTACCTCGCAGACCATGGACTGGGCTGTTGTTCTCTGAGCCCTAAACCCTAAACCCTAAATCCTAAACCGCCCTACATCCCTGGGCAGCGGGCCCATACCACGTTAAGGAATAGCTTGAATAGCCGTTGAGCCAACATGGGAACAGACGTTGAACCTGGTTGTGACTTAGGGTTTAGGGTTTAGGGTACATTTGGGCCCTGTTTAACTAAGAAAAATTCGGCACACCCCAAACCCATACCCCTTAACCGATGAAAGGAGAATAGAAGGAATAATTTTACAACACCCCTTAATTTCTTTAAGGGGTGGGTTGAGGGTTTCCTGGACCCCGAGTGCCCTGCAAGACACCGATGAAGACACACGAAACTAAGGCCTTCATTAAGGGCTACTTGTGGGGGCATTCCAAATTATCCAAACGCTCTGGTACCCCAGGAAATCCCAAAATCCTTAATTAAGGCCTCCCTAAACAACTAGTTGCTTAAGAACCCCGCAAGAACATATAAATGAATTTTCTTCCGAAAAAGGGGAATATTGGGATTATTGTCTTGGATTTGTGTTTGGGGTGCTTACGCAAATAGTAGTAAAGGCAAATGCCCTGAACCTCCCGGAAACTCCTATACCAATCTCAGGCGTCGCGGCTGCGCCGCGATGTTGCTGGCAAAGTAGCTTGCCTGACAAAAAACTGTCGGGTTTTAAGGAATTTGGGGTGCTGCAAGTAGGGGCGTACATGGCCGTACTGCAAACCCTTTACCCCTAACCAAACCCAAAATCCAAACTTTCGAGGCATCCACAGCCGATCCGCTACAAAAGTTTCAAAGGAGCCCTGCGAGCCCCAACAAATAGTGGCCTACAAAGAGCACTTGAGGTATTTGTGGTTTGGGTTCTGGGCGTTTGGTGCTGGAAACGTCTGGGCTCAGAGGTCTTCAAGAATCTGAACCCCATCCTAATCCCTACCCTAAAACCCTAAACCCTAAACCCTGTTGAGCTCCACAAGAAGATTTGGGCCATAGTCGAAGTGCCGACTTATTTCTTACTCGGCCATGTCTGGGAATCTAGCACCAAGGGGCCCTGACAATGCTGAATCTGATGACATGGACCCTCTGCTCTGAACGGGGGCAGCTTGCACTCCCCTAAACCCTAAACCCTAAACCCTAAACCCTAAAGCCCTAAAGCCCTAAACCCCTAAACCCCTAAACCTCCAGATCCTGAACCGTAGGGGCCTAGACCCCACTGCGCACAGCTCAGGGCTGAGGATCCTCAACCAAATCTTGAAACTCAAAAGAAGGAACGGCCCACCGGGCACCACTTGAGCCTGAAGAACCTGAATCCCGAACCCTCAGCCTCAAGCTAAGCCCTCAACCCCGGACCCTGAACCCTGTACCCTAAACCCAAAACCGAAACCCTAAAAACCGTAAACCCTGTAAACCCTAAACCCACGCCAAACCCTAAAACAAGATCCCCACCCCAAGGCCCAAAGCCTCAAAGTTAAGAAGTAGACCTTCAGCGATATAGGGATCCTCAGTATGATTCAAGGTGTATTCCTTAACCAAGGGTATATTGGGCCCCAAACCCTAAACCCTAAAACCCCAAACCTCAAACCCCAAACCCCAAACCCCAAACCCTAAACCCTAAACCCTAAACCCCCAAACCTCAAACCCTAAACCCCACTCCTTAAATCCAAGGGTTTTAAGGTTTTAGGGGGCTCTTTGGGCCCCCCTTCCATGCAGAGAGGCCTTCCAGGGACTCCGGTCCTTGTTGATGAGCTCCTGATTTTTTTCTATTTTTGTTGTTAGGGTTTAGGGTTTAGGGTTTAGGGTTTAGGGTTTAGGGTTTAGGGTGTAGGGTTTAGGGTTTAGGGTTTAGGGCTTAGGGTTTAGGGTTTAGGGTTTAGGGTTTAGGGTTTAGGGGTTTTGTGGTGGGGCTTCGGGTGCTTGGGGTGTTAGGATTCAGGGGTTTGGGGTTTGGGATGTTTTGCCACCCGCACTGCACACGCACCCACAACGGTTCGGGATGTAAGGGTTTAGGGGTTTGGGGCTTCGGGTCTAGGATTCTGGGATTTGGGGTTTTGGATTTCAAGGTTTAGGGAACCCGAAACCCTAAACCCTAAACATTTTTTTGAACACCCTAGACCCTAAACCCTTCCTAAACCCTAAACCCTAAACCCTAAACCTTCTTTTGCTGCTCAAGTCCACTCTCAGTCCTTAACCCTAGGCCCTTCTAGAATACTTGGCCCTACTTGGCAGGGCTATAAGTACGATGAACTATGTTTATTTAGGGAGACTCAAAATAACCCTGCTTATAACTGCACATGAACCTCCAAGTAGGCCCTAAACCCTAAACCCTAAACCGTAGACCCTAGACCCTAGATCCTACCTAAACCCTAAACCCCACACCCTATTCCCGTCCTTGCGCTGGAAGCTCATTGCCAATGAAGGGGCAAGGTGTCCCTTGTCAAAGCCTCGGTCTTTCGCGCCCAGCCCCCGCATGCTCCCAAAGAGCCCTCCTTACTACCCCTTAATTGCAAGGAGTATTCCTTCAACCATCTATATAGGGGCCCTAAACGCTAAACCCTAAACCCTAAACCCCAAACTGATGATGTAGGGTGCATTCCTGAAGGAAAAGCTTTTCAGGGCTCTCTGGAGTCAGGGCTCCAGGGGTTTTACGGGTTTTGGGTCGCCGCCCAGCAGTTCAGGGTCTGGGGGTTAGGGTTTAGGGGGTTAGGGGTTTAGGGTTTAGGGTCCAGGGCTTAGGGCTTAGGGCTTAGGGTTCCAGTTTCCCGCAGGTTCTAATGTAGGGGTCTCGCTTGACGCGCCTCTTCACAAGGCATTTTAAACTCTAAACCCTCGGCCCCTAAACCTTGAGATGTTCCCCCTTGTACTAACGGTCCTGAATAGGGATAATAGGGGGGGTACTATAATCCCTATTGAGGACTACTAGTGTAAGGGTGAACATCCCAACTTAAACCCTGAACCCTTGAACACGAAAACCCCAAACCCTAAACCCTAAAACACTAAAACACTAAACCAAAGCATGACGTGCAAGCCGTGGCTCCAGTATTCTCATACTGGCTGGGGCTCGTCTGTTCAATGCCTCGGCTGCGGCTTAGCTTGAGAGCCCAAAACTTTTTGTTGTAGGTTGCCGAACAATCTTATATGGGGCTTCAGAACCATAACCCACAGAGAAAACCCCACAGCCTATACCCAGAGTAGGTTTCGGGGTCTTCAACTCGAATTCAGTCGTTCGATGCTCAGGAAGTCGAGGGTTTTGAGGGGGGAAGGGAAGAAACGCAAGACACCAAACTCCATGCGTTTAAAGCCACAAGAAAGGTTCAACTTCATAATTTCTACCAGGTCAAAGGAAAACCAAGCCCCCCCCCCCCCCCCCCCCCCCCCCCCCCAACACAAAAAAAGGATCCCTCTGTCAAGGTCTTTTCTTCAGCTAAGGGGTGCTCTAGGCTGGCTGCATCTACGCCTCTGGGTTTACCCTAAACCTCAACCCTCAACCCTCAACCCTCAACCCTCAACCCTCAACCCTCAACCCTCAACCCTCAACCCTAAACCCTAACCCTAAAGAGGGTTTCAACATTGTAGGCAAAGGCCGAAGCGCCGGCGGCCTTTAAGGCAGGGTCCAAGACGAAGCCCTTCCTCAGCTGCACAGACTTTATCAACCCTAAACCCCAATCGCTAGCAGGTTTAGGGTTTCGGGCTTAGGGTTTAGGGTTCAGGGTTTAGGACTGAGATGTGCTGTAAACCCAGTGAAAATTGTCTAAGAATGGGTTCCCTTATAAGGCAAGAAGGGAAATTAAACAACTATCCCCAAAGCACAACCCAGAAATCGCTAGCACCCCTTTATCCTCCAGCAAGTTCCTAAGTAGACCTCCCTTAACGCTACTTCGAGCTTAGCGTTTAGGGTTTCTACCTTCTACACCCTAAACCCTAAACCCTAAACCCTGAACCCTAAACTACCTACCTGCGTACCTAGTACCTACCTTGCTTTAGGCTTTAGGCGTCAGGGCTTGCTGCAGCGCACAGCACCCAAGCCTCACGACTATGGCGGTGTTGCGGGCGATCCCAGGGTTTAGGGTTTAGGGTTTAGGGTTTAGGGTTTAGGGTTTAGGGTTTAGGGCGACAATGCAGCTGGCATCCTTTCCTCAGCACCTGGTAACCAGAGTCAAAAGACAGCGTTGTGCCTCACTTCTTTCAAAAAAGTGGGCGCCTCTGCTCCCAGCACCTACAGTACAGGCGAAACATTTTGTTTCTACATGACCAAATCATGGCCAACTTCACAGAGCATTGAGCCGCTTCTGCAACACTCCTCTATTGGTTGCTTATAAGAACCGCCCTCCTCAAAAATATAAGAAAGCCTATAAGGAAGAACATCTTTTTATTTGTTTATTATGTTTGTTTTAGTTTTTTGGGGGGTGGGGGTTCTTATGCAAATGGTAGTCCTGGCCCAAAACAATAAATATATTTACCCCTCTAAGGCAAACTGCCCTGTTAATCTTCTTGGGGGGCCTAGTTGTCCAGCACGTAGGGGAACTGAAGACCTGTGGGATTATAAAAGGGGCTTGATATTGCCCCAAAAAGGTTAGTATAACCAATAGGGGGTTCTAAACCCTAAACCCTAAACCCTAAACCCTAAGGCGTGGTCACATTGAGTTTCCGGTCCGCAGCGCGGGTTTTCCGGCTCCGGGCCCTGCGGCCTGGGGAAGCTGAGATAGGAAGAGCTCCTTCTTGGTAGCTTCCTTGCTTCTCCCATTTTCGTTCAGGTTTCTTATAGGGTTTAAGGTTACTAGACCCAGGAGGAAGCTAGGAAAAACAGGGTGCCCTTTTTAGGGGGGTTATAGGGGAGCCCAAACCACACAACAAGGGACTAAGGGCCTCCTTACTTCTGCTGTAACTGAAGGAATGAAAAGGAGGTTAAACTTTGTTGATTCCTACCAATTAAAAAAAAACATTCAATCTTCACCTTTGCTGATTCCTACCCAAAAGGAGAAAAACAAGCCAAAAGAAGTTTAAAAAGCTCAGCTGTTGCCTCTGCGAGCTTCCTTTGGTGGCGGTGATGAGAGGAGAGATTGCGCGAAGTCTTCTTGGACCGCGGAGCTGTCGCCGCCGTGATCTGCAGAGCCCCACGTGATGACGGATCCATCTGCCAGTATGGCAGCAAATGCCATCCTCTTAGCAGCCCAGGAACCATATTGCAATAAGTACTATAAGGGTAGCCTTTTGGGGTTGGTTACCTTATAAGGTATCCTAGAACCCCAAAAAAGGGTGAACAAAAAGGTACCACTTGGAAACCATGCTTCTTCGAGCTCTGAATCTGCTGCACACTCTTGAGCTGATGTTGGACTTTGCGGCTGTCACCGCCGTAGAACTCATTGCCCCACGTGACCACCGATCCGTCTGCCAAGATGGCAGCAAACGCTTCAGATGTGCCTTGAACCTAGGCTGCCCAGTAACCTAGGCTTAAAAGTCCCATTTTTGCTTAAGAACCTAAACCCCTTGAAAAGGGAATAAGGGTACTACTGGGCATGCTAGGAACTTCTTGAACGTTCTGGAGCTGGTCTAGCACACTGGAGCTGTCACCACCCAGACTCAGACTCCCCCACGATACGACGGATCCGTCGGACATGATGGCGGCAAACGCGAAGTTCGTGGCCCGAAGCTTCTCCACTTTGACTTGGGCTTGGGAGCTGTCAGCCCCACAGCACCACCTGACAACCTAAGTTGTCCAGTAACCTGCGGGAAGTCAAGGCTAACCTTTGGGATTAGAAGGCGATGATACTACCCCAAAAAGGATAAAGGTTACCTACTAAACTAGGCAACTGAAGATTGCGCAGTTGCCCGACGGAGCCGATCTTGAAGAATCGAACTGTCACCACCCATGCCAGCGTCGCCCCACGTGACAACCGATCCGTCCGACAGGATGGCAGCAAACCTAGTTCATGGTTTGGATGATATTAAGAACTTAAATCTATATTCCTTATTGGGTTTAAGTGCCCTTAAAAATGTAACATGTTACCCAACTATGACAAAGAAACGCAGAGGACGTGCCCTTGAGCTGCTTCACTCCATAAAGCTGCTCTTGGACCCCGGAGCAGTCGCCGCCAGTTGCAGCATGGCCCCATG